CTAGCGCTCTACCACTTGAGCCACAGCGCCACTTCTGGCTTTTTTCTTTTTGCTTATGTGGTGCTGAGGAATCGAACCCAGGGCCTCAGGCATGCAAGGTAAACACTCTACCACTGAGCCACCTTCCCAGCCCACCACATAATTCTTTCTAACAACCTATACCACCTGCTCAGGAAGCTGAGATCTGAAGATCATGTTTTAAAGCCAGGCCAGGCAGAAAAGACTGTGAGACTCAACTCCAGTTAATTATCAAAAGGCTGGGAGTGAAGCTGTGGCTCAAGTGGTAGAGTACCAGCCTTGAGCAGAAAAAGCTAAGGCTCTTGAGTTTGAGGCCCCAAGCCCAGCACAAGAACGAACAAAACACTGCATTAAAGACACTCAAAGAGGAAAAAAAAAAGTGTATAAAATCAAAAGGATGTTTAAACAAAATGGAAAGAGCAATATAGAAATCCTAAAAAGAAAACCAAAAATAAATGTTGTAGAGAGAGTAGTGACTGAAATGAAAAACAGACGAGAAAACGTATAAACTTGAACACAGGTCAATGGAAATGATCATGTCTGATAAATGGAAAGAAGAAAATACTGAAGAGAACAGAGCCCAGAGGACAGGTGGGGCACCACTGAGAGAACTGACACACAAAGCATAAGTCCCAGAAGAAGGGAGAAAGAAGTAATAGCTGGATTGTCCACATATTTGATGAAAGGCCGGAGCATACATCTAGGACACTCAACCAACTCTAGTAATGTCAATGCAACACTCACACTGAGAAAACTTACAAACTTTCCAAGCCCAAACCAAAATCTCCCGAAAGCTGTGAGAAGGACATAATGCTTAAGGGATCCTGCAAGGTGAACAGAAAGGACACGATATAAATTAAAAATCTCAATAAAGAGAGCCAATTATAAAGGCTAGCATTGTTTGAACAATGATTTACGGCTTTACTTTTCATTTTCTACCACTAATAGTATTTTTTTATGTCTAAAAGCTAGAAGTATTGTTTAAAAAAAAAATCTATGAACTCTATATGAGGTGCTGCTGGTGGCTCATGCCTGTAATCCTAGCTACTTGGGAGACTGAGGTAAGTGTGGAGCTAGCCTAGACACACATGTGAATCCCTTCTCAACCAAAAAGCTGGGTGCAATGGTGCATGCCCATCACCCATCAACAGATAAAGCTGGGCATGGTAGTATGTGCTTGTCATTCCCATTTGCAGGAGGTAAAATGTAAATTCACTACTACAGTCCAGGAATATACCTGGGCAGGAAGCAAGACCCTCTCTCAAGTCTCCCAAGTGTTCAGTGCCAAAAAGGGCTGGAGGCACAGCTCAATAGTGTCCGCCTAGCAAACAGAGCCCCAAATTCAAGCTCCAGTATTGCCAATTTAGATAGATAGATAGATAGATAGATAGATGGATGGATGGATGGATGGATGGATGGATGGATAGATAGATAGATAGATAGATAGATAGATAGATAGATAGATAGATAGACAGACAGACAGACAGACAGACAGACAGACAGACAGAGACAGACAGACAGACAGATAGGAAAATTATACTGTCAAATTAAAAAATCAAGTTAGGACTAGAGTGCAGCCCAGGGGTAGACTGCTTGACTTTCATGCATGAGACCCTGGGTTTGATCCCAGGCAAAACCAAAAAAGGATAATTTATGTATAGAATGATCCAATTATTTGCATATCTGTATATGTGTTCATGTGTGTACATATATTCTCTTATACAAATAAACATACTAATTCCATATTTTACTGAATTTTACTGTATTTCAGTGAAGCTAAATACAAGGAAATTGCAAAACTATGGGAGATGGTTCTATCTACGGAGTAAGTCTTAGTTTGGGTTCCTAAAGAAGCAGGTCCTGAGAAAAGGATTTGGATGTAGGGGCTGGGAAGGTGGCTCAGTGGTAGAGTGCTTGCCTCGCATGCATGAAGCCCTGAGTTCAATTCCTCAGCAGTACGTAAGCAGAAAAAGCTGGAAGGGTTGCTGTGGCTCAAGTGGTAGAGCGCTAGCCTTGAGGTGAAGAGATGAGGGACAGCGCCCAGGCCCAGAGTTCAATCCCCATGACCGACAAAAAAAAAGAATTTGGATATGGATGGTGTCATGGGGTACCAGGAAACACAGACAGAAAAGAGGGGAAACAATACAGAAAGAAAGAAAAAAATACAGTCAATTATTGAAATAGTTATCAAGGTATACAAGTAAAGCTCAATACCCCTGGGAGACACAGGAGACTGTGTGACATACCTCAGATATCTCAACCAAGGGACAAGGAAGTCTGTTTTCCCATCCTCAGCTATGATGATCTGAGGTCCTGTGATATGACCTCTCCTGGTTTTGGGAGCTTCCTCAATTGTGTAAGTCAAGAGGAAGGCTGCCAAACAGGACAGGCAGGCATTTGGTGCAGAGTCTTAATTAAGTAAAGGAACACCGAGAGCTGTGGCAATGAGCAAGACACAATAACTCCTCTCAGGTGCATTAGGTACAACTGACAATTTCTGCATACTTGTTACTGCTTTATCATTGACACATCTTAAATGGGAAAAAAGAAACTGAGTTAATAGAAACTAGGTTTTCTAGAGAAAAGCAAAACATGTTTGCAATTAAGCCAGAAAGTGTGCAGAGAGTCAGGGGTCTCCCCTTTTGATTGGGGCCTCTGCCTAGAAAAGACGTGCTGAAGAGGACAAGTGTCTTTGAAATCAGCTTGACTGACACGAGAGGGAACAAGAGAGCACCCGGAGGAAAGAGACAGCTGAGACAACGCAGCGTTGCAACACTTTATTCATTGATCATAAATAGGCTCATGAACATCGAGCTGATCATGAGTGATGTACTAGCACCTGGAACGTGACTGTCATGGAGCACTCGCTGGTTCACCATCGCTGGCCAGAGAGCTTGGGTGTCTCCTCCTCAAGTCTCCAGCTTTGTGGGAACCCTCCTGGTGTAGCAATTTAATTCCTGGCTCATTCTTGACAATTAAAAAAACCATAAAAGACTGTTTGCAAGAAAATATCAAAGAGAATAAGAAGATTTTTCCGCTCTTCTTAGAGTCTAAAAGTAAAAAGGGGAGTTAGGGAAGAAGAGGACAGGAGGAAGACGTTGGAGATCCTCCTGTTTCTTCCTTTCCGCAGAGCATTTTATAAAAGCAAGACCAGGGAAGATCAATGCTGTTTGGAGATGGGCTGTGTCTCTCTAATGAGCCACTCGAGAGCTTCCTGGCGTCCCTGTTTCTGCAGTTCCTTGCCAATCACATCCCTACAGGTCTGGTGGTAATTGTTGAGCCAGTCGAGCTGCAAAGGAAAGAAGGGAGGGCACTGAATACGCCATCGGATCATTACCATTGAGCAACGGCGATGACAGAAAGGGACCCACACGCTGAGCCACACGTGAGGGCTACGGTACACAAAATCCTTTCTCCCTGCTAATGGACAGGCAATTTCCATGTGTATTTCCCCAGAACTGCATGGAACCAGTCTACACTGCTAATAGTATACATGCTTCCAGTGGACTAGCAATGACTGTGAGATAGCCAAAAATCTGTCAATGTGAGCTCCCCTGAGGGCAGCGCTTGTAACCAGGCCTTCCTTTGTGATAGGACACCAGCCAGCCACAGCCCCAGGCCACTACAAGAGAGATGGGGCCAGATCACCTCAGCAGCAGCTCCTCCACCTACCCACATGGACCCATCCGTTACTCCTGAGCCAGCTTAGGTGGTGGAAGACTGAAATAGCTTCATCAGCTGTAAGGACTCCTGCTAACAGACATATGTGAAGTTCTCCTGCAAACTTACTGAGTTTCCTTTTCTTCACCCACTGATGTTTCGCTGACCCAAAACCTTTAGTGGCCAATAAACGCAGCACTACAGAGCAGAACTGAGAGTAAGCAACTTAAAAGAAATGAAGTGCTAACTAATCCTAACAACTGAGGTGACTGAGGTCCAGAGAATCATGGTCCAAAGTCAGTCCAAGCAGAAAAGCCCTTGAGACTCCATTTTAACCAGCAAAAACTAAGGCTAGAAAAGTGGCTCAAGTGGTAAAGCACCAGCACAGCAAGCAAGCTAGGCAAGTACAGGGCCCACGTTCAAACCCCAGAACCACCAAAGAAAATAAAGACGATGCTGACGAAACTGACACCTGGAGCGGTGATGACTATGATACAGCCTGGAGACTTCCATCCAGCAGGGAGGAATGTCAAGGCCAAGTAATTCCGGTGCTGCCAGGCCAGGCAGGGCTACAAAGCTGCCTGCCATTCAAACAACTCAATGGTGCTGGCTGCAGCAGCCTACTATGACCCTGAGGCCACAGGATACTCATGAGTCCTGCTGGCCGAGGGGAGAGAAGAGGGAGCGCAGACAGCCTGAGCAGGCCTGAACAGCATGAAGCCTGCCTTCTGAAGTGGGCAAATTCACATCCCTCTGAAGTCCTCTGCTGCCATCTAGTGAGCAATGATGGAATAGAGCTCCAAACCAAAAGCCCGTTACAGAGGAAAGGAACAGAACTCCCCTTCGGGTGGGAATTACTGTGCCTTCAGACATCATGAAGCCTCAGACCTAATAAGTATAGAAAAGCGACCTTTTTCTGAAAAGAGAGAATATCTGACACAATACTCTGCTTGCGTACGAGAGGAAGAATGCTGTATTTGCAAAAACTTGCTTATGGCCCAATAGAGTACAATTGTCCAAAATAACACTTGGCTATGGTTTAGGTATTCAACATACAATAATGGAACATTAGATCAGCTAGATCACACTGGTCTATGTCTCACATCTTCCCTTCAAAGAAAAACAAAGTAGTTGGCTTCACCTTCCTCATGAACTAGTTCCTTGTACAAAGCAGATCACAGGGGCAAATCCCAGGAAGTACATGTAGGAAGCAGCAGTCTCGGGCTTCCAAGAGTGCTCGCTAAGATCCTGGAAGTAGTTCCTAAGGGTCATTTTAAGAGATAGGGGCTCACATGGGGCACAGGGTGGCTTTCACAACTGTGTTTTTGGTCCCTTTCACCTAAAGCATCACTTTGGGAAGCTGGTTAACAGCCCCTGAACAGCTGGTAGGACTCTTCCCACTAAACAGGACACACACATGACTCCAGGCTGCTGACAGGCCATTTCCTGACCCTCATCTGTCTACAAGCAGAAACCACCTTGAGAACCAGATGCCTTTAGGATCCTGTGACAATGCTGAGCTGAACCAATAGCACTGATCATCAGACCGAGGTGGCCGAGCAGAGCGGAAGCAGGAAGCAGATGACTTTCCTCTGTGAGCTGGGAAGGACAAGAGGCGTCTAGCTAGGTGAATCCCATTCAACAGTGTAAGCAGGAGCCCTGCTTTTTAGGGTGAAAAACAAGGTCCAAGCAGGCCCCACAGAGAAGTAGTCCTGCCGTAAGCACTCAAAGAGCTGGAAGCTGGTGGCTCACAGCTGTAATCCTAGCTATTCAGGAGACTGAGGTCTGAGGATTGCAGTTCAAAGCTAGCCCAGGCAGTAAAGTCTGTGAGACTTTCATCAATATAACCACTAGAAAACCAGAAGTGGTGCTGTGGCTCAAAGTGAGCACCAGCCTTAAGCAAAAAAAGGTCAGGGACAGCACCCAGGCCCTGAGTTCAAGCCCCATGATCAAAAAAGCCCTCAAAGGCCCCTGGCATGAGGCCCGTGGCTGCCTTGGGTAACAAACATGCCATGCGTACCCTGCCTCTGGTGCCTACTAGGCATCTACTTCTTACTGATCTTCTGACCCCTGCCTTGCTCTGGAAATTGTATCCCAGCTCTCCAGTTCCCGGCTTGAGAACTGTTTTATCTGTACAGATTGTTCCTGCTCCATTTCTGACCCTCGTTTCTTCTCTAACCTTCAGTACTTCCCTGATCCCTTGCCTTACTCCAGGTCTCTCCAGGCCTCCTGTCTGTCACTGCATTTGGCCATACAACCTGGACACTAACTCTAGTATCTGACATGATCTGAAGACCTGTAATTCTTGGGGCTTGCTAAGTGAGCACTACTGTGCCCAGACTTTGTGAGGAAACCATGCAGTAAGAGTTGGTAACCTCTTACTCTCATCTGAGTGAAACTGAGCATTGAATATATTTTGCTTTTCATTTCCTTAATGTTTCACATAACACAAGAAAGCAATCCGGCATGTACAGTGACCAAGAGGCCCCACCATCCGGCTGGTCCTTTGTAGGGAAGACACCCAGGCCTTTGTGTGCTAAATGCCTCCTCAGTAAAGCTATGGAGAAGCAAGGCCATTTCACCCAGAAAAGCAATGGCTTACTGTTCCTACCCACATACCCTCCAGTCCTTGCATGGCTGGGGGAAGCCCAAAAACCACACAGAAAATGACAAGGTTCTCAGGAGATCTGATGGGTAGCCTCAGGTGGCCCCGACCTCTAAATTAAAAGGTGAGAATGGAGAAGGGAAGCTGTCCACCTCCCTGACAACACTTCCGCCTCCCAAGACTTCTCCATTACCTCTTTGTCCGTAAGAGAATCCACATCTATCATTTTGGTCTGGATCGGAACCAAAGTTAGAGGTTCAAAGGTCAGGCTTCCCCGGTTATTGAAGTTATACTGTAAAAGGAGGAAATCGGCAGCTTTTATGTGGCGTCACCACAATTACCCACCATAACATCTCTCTACCAGGCCTGGTACCCCTCAGAGCCAAGTGTAAACACTGGCTAAGTTTGCTAGTCACCATTTCTAATAGAGGCGCACAAACACAACTGATACCACGTTCCAAGAGCTGCCCCGAGGAACACAGCCTGGGCCAGTAACAGGTCCACAGGGTCATGTCTGCTATGATAGAGGAGGCAGAGGCTGCGTCACGGGTGTCTGGACTCAGAGCATCTCTGGTCTGGGTTTTTAAGACTTGATGGAGTTTCAGTCCCTAAAATCAGTCAGCTACATTGGCCTGCCTTAACCCAGCGAGGCCCATCAGTTGACAGGATAGAGACTCAAGAGCAAGCGGGGCGAGGGGGACGTAGCACAGAATACTTGCCTGACATGTACAAGGCCCCGCATTCAATCCCAGCACTGGGGAAAAGTGAGCAAACTAGGTCTTTGTTGCCTTTGGGAGGAAGGTTCTAGGCCACTTCCAAGAATGGTGATTTCCACAGCACAGAGCAGATCAGTAAGGTCAACCTCCTTGCAGACATAGGCAGCTACTTCTCTTCAGCTGCTCATTTCCACAGTGAAAGGTAGGAAGCTAACAGTTCTGACAGATAAGCTCTTGTACCTAAAATCCTATCTGTCCCGGTAACACTGACAGAGCCTGTGAGACCTGAACCACGGCATAACTCAGGCTTTCTTGATGTCACCTGGTAAAAATCATGTGAGGGATGTAATGAGAACACGGACTCCAGGCCTTGCACTGGGGATTGTGGTTCATGAATACAAGCTGTCTTCAACAAACTCAGAGCCTCAAATCACATCAGGCAGGAGCCTGTTTGGGATTCCATGCGTACAGTCCTGGGTCCCGGTTCATGAAAGATTTTCACTCTGGCTTTCAGGGGTAGCAGAGCAACTTCTATCAATATCACGGGAAGAAAACTTCATTTGGGGCTCAGAATGGCATATTCTTGGCTCCCAAGACAACCATCTTCATCTTCCCACAATAAGGAACAGGAAATTTCTATCATAAATGAATACTTACTTTGGTCTTCATAGGAACCACCAGAACAACATTCTCAATGCGGATTCCAAAAGCCCCATCTTCGTAATATCCTGGCTCTAAAACAAACAAACCCCAAATGAGAAGCAGCCCACGAGAGGGCATTTTCACCTGAGTTGACCACCCTGCCCTGAAAGAGAACAAAGAGCTGAGATCCCACCCTATCTGTGTGCATGAGCTTAGAGACGCCACCTGCACCCACGTGGCCACATTGTCATAGGTACCTGAGATACAGAAACACAAGGCAGGTCATATAATAACAGGAGGGCTGTTAAATACATCATGTTGCATAATCACAGGACACAAGGATGTAGGCATTAAAGTCTGTTTACAAAGACCTGGGGTAACATGGTAAATGACAATATATTAAAATAATAAAACAAGATACAATATTAGTATGATCTCAATTATTTTTTAAAAATAAGGTGAGTGTGTGTGTGTGTGTGTGTGTGTGTGTGTGTGTGTAAAAAGCCAAAGCTAGCATGGCAAAATATTGTCATGTTGTTCCCAGATGGTGAGATTACAAATGATTTTCATTGTCTTTTTATCCTATTCTATCTCACTCTTTCTAGAAGAGTCATTTTCACAATCCCAAGAGTTGGTTTTTTGTTAATTTAGTGTGTCAGTAAAGGAGATATACTATGAATTTCCTTTAAAATAAAATGTTTGTTAAAAAAAAAGAAACACCAAAGGACTGTCACGTGCCGTACATGAGTTTACCTACCATCAGTGACGATCATGCCTGCCTCCAAGGGCTCATCAGAGAAGGTTTTATAACTGATGCCACAGGGACCCTCATGAACATTCAGAAAAGATCCAACACCATGTCCCGTTCCGTGCAGGTAATCCAGACCAGAATCCCACAAAGCTGAACGCGCAAAGGAGTCTAGGAGGTGGCCTGAAAAGACATAAAAGAACTGCCTGATGTTTGTACAGTACTTCAGAGATTAGATTCATTGTATTTGGCTCTAAAAGGTGAAACAGAAACTCATGGGTAAAAGTAACCGGTGAGTTCAGATTTCAGCCCAGCACAAGGAAGAACTTTCTAACAATCAGAGCCACCTGAGGAGCCAGTCAGAGCTCAGTCTAAAGCTAGAGCATCATTTGTCCAGAAAGCCAGTAAGAAGACAGACACCCATTGTCGATTACAGCTATGCTGGGTCAACTTAAGACTGTCTTTCTCCAACTCTGGAACTCTAAGGTTTAGAAATGCAAAGATGAGATTCTAGCCAGACTGTAAGTAGTCAGGTAGGCACAACAGATGAGGAAACTGAAACTCAGGGAGATGAGCATGTGCCCATCTAACTAGATTCAAGGCCCAGGTATGTCCAACTATGGAATGTTCAGGCCCCAGCCTCAAGCAAAGCAATAGATATGTAAATTCAGGATCCAAGTAAAGTAACTAACTATAGGGACCATTCGAGGAGGCACTAGCCTACTACTAAAGGGCAGACAGGAAGCTTCTCCATTTTTCACTCAGGTCCTAAGGCTTTTGTGTCCAATCGTCCCTCTCTTAGAGAACCCCCTTCCTCCCCCCCCGCCCTTAGTCACTCAGTGTCACAGCTGACACCAGGCCCAAATCTACACCTGGCTCTCTAGAAGGTCCTCTGAGCTCAGTTAATGGGACCAAGAGATTTTCTATACAGAATGTGCACTTGTCCTGGCTGGGCCTGAAGTGCACAGGGACTGAACGCAGCAAAAGGAAGGACGTGTCTTTCTACTCAGACATATCTGATTCCTGAACAAGAAAAAGATCCTGCCACATGACAGAAGGAACCACGTACCTTTGGTACCAGTCGGGAAAATGGCTGCACTTACAGCTATGTGGCCCTTCAGAACATATGTGAAGCATTCCTGCCAAGAAAACCAAGAGAGAGGCATGTTGCAGAAGAAGACACAGTTTAATTCCACAGCTTACTGGGAGAGTGCAGAAAACCTTGCCATTAAACAGTCTTTACCAGTACCACAGAGAAAACTGATGTGAAGAGAACAATATATCCAGTGGATAAAAGGTCTAGATATGGACTATCATCGGAAAAATGATCCTATGGGCTTTATCATGAAATGAACATACCGAAACATTCCATGCTATATGAACCTTAGAAAGACTGGGAGAAGGGGCTGGGAAGGTGGCTCAGTGGTGAAGTGCTTGCCTCAAATGCATGAGGCCCTGGGTTCAATTCCTCAGCATAACATAAACAGAAAAAGCTGGAAGTGACACTGTGGCTCAAGTGGTAGAGCACTAGCCTTGAGCTGAAGAGCTGAGGGACAGCACCCAGGCCCAGAGTTCAAGCCCATGACTGACAAAAAAGACTGAGAGAAGTAATAAACCATACTGATGACCTATCTAACATATATACATATATAGCACCTATCAAGCTCTTTATATTATTACGCTGTTTACACTAATCCCACTCTTCATGACAATGAACCATCTTTGCCCTTCACTTACAAAGGGCTCTACATCACTATGCTATCCTCAGGATAGGCTATTTCTACTGCCTGCAAAAGAAATGTCTACTTGAAAGGAAAGCATGGTAATTCATACCTGTGATCCCAGCTACTCCATAGGCAGAGGTCTAGAGGATCAAAGTTCAAGACCAGTTCAAACAAAAAGTTAATGAGACTCCCCTGCAACCAATAAGCTGCCATAAGTTGCCATCCCAACTACGTAGGTAGGAGACAAAGATAGGAGGATCGCAGTCTAGGCTGGTCCAGGGAAAAGTGCAAGAAAAGGAACTAAAGCAAAAAGGCCTCTGGGTGTGGTTCAAGTGGTAGAGTGATTGCTGAGCCAGTGCCTGGTCCTCAGTTTTAGTATGGTCAAAAACAAAAATAGCAAATCCTGCTTTGAAGGCTCATGACTTGCCAGGAAGAGGCAAGAACTGAAATTCCACACACCTCAATCTGGGTTGAGGCTCTTTTCACGGTATGGCCATCACAAAAGGGCCTAATATTTGAGGCCCAAACTCTTCTCGGGCGTCAGTGCCTACAAACAGACAAAGCAAGGCACCAAGACTATAAAAATCTACCCACTGCACCACATAACCAGGTTCCTAAAGAAGCTTCCTCAACAGACACATTTACTCAGACACTCAACCAACTTTTACCAAGCAGAAACCAGGATCCAGAAACTCACTGGCTCACAGAACTTCACCCGACCAGCCTGGGAGAGGAAGGTACAGCTACCTCCATTTTCATGAACAAAAAAAAAAAAAAGTGTTCTAGTTCAAGGTTGTGCAGTCAGTAAACAACAGAACAGTTTTGAAGGCAGGTCTCTAGAAGCCCAGCACATGTCTCTACCTCATAGCTCTCTGGCCCCTGCTATGTAAGTCACCCAGAAACTGAGTAGAGAGTTCTCTGAGAAGTAAGCCTGGGAATAAGAACACTGTCCTTGAAAAAAGGGGGCAGCTGACCGAATCCAATGTGGACACTGCCCATAAAGCATACATTTCACTACGCCCCATCCCCAAGGAGAAGGCCAAAGCTATTTCAAGTTGAACCTCAGCTGCCTTGACCTTAACAGAATGCTTTTACATTTGCTCCAAATGTCTTACCCTCCAATAATTAATTACATAGATCTCACAAAGCAGATAAGCCTGACTCCACAAAAAGGAGCAATTTACGATCCAACATATAATCCTACTTATTTATGCAATTCCTTTTCATAAAAGCAATGTTCTTTGTGAGAAAAGGGAGAAGGCCTCCTGAGTTTTGCCTTTGCCTCACCTTCTCATAGGCTGTAGGCATCCCAAAATGCATGGTCCGGGTCACATCTGTGGTTCCATCCCTTTCAGAAGCAGAACAGAAAAAAAAGAGTTGGTTTTCAGTTGAAGTTTTCTCAAATATGAAGAGGTGAGGACACAGAAAAGTTAGAACCTCCCTGCACTGCTGATGGGGACATTAAATGGAAGAGACCCTTTGGAAAACAGTTTGCATGAACCATTAACCTTAGAGGACTCAATGTGGTTACCATTTGAGACAGTAATCCCACCCCTACCTATATCCACAGGAGACTTGAAAACATAGGTCTGCACAAAAACTTATACATGAGGTTCACAACAGTATTAGTCATAATATCCTAGAAGTGGAAACAACCTAAAGGCCCATCCACTGACAAGTGAAGAAACAGAATGTCAAATCCACACAACTGAGGATTACTCAGCTTCAGTCATGTAAAGAAATGAAGTACTCATACATGTTATGACATGGTAAACCTTGAAAACATTACACTAAAAAGCTAAGTGAAAGAAGTCAGACACAGAAGACAATATTAATATAATCATGTATATAAAGTTACCAGAAGAAGTAAATCATATGAGACAAAGACTCATCCTTTTAGAGTGATGAAAACATGTGTGGCAATAATTGTATAGCTCTGTACAAATACACAAAAAAATTAATTTCATACTTTACATGGGTGTATTTTATCTAAAAAAAGTTGTTCTGAAAACACATCAGAGTGAATGGCATTAACTAAGCCTTAACACACACAGTCTTGGTATAAAACATGAGGACTCTTCCATAAGCAACACTACCACTGGGGCTATGAATAAGTACAGGGGAGCCTACTTCTAGCAAAAGAGGGCCAGGATCCAGTTCTTCCTTCTAGAAAGGCAAAGGGTTTACTGGACAGAGTTAAAAATATCCAAACATACTTCTAGCAAAAGAGGGCCAGAATCCAGTTCTTCTTTTGAAAGGCAAAGGGTTTACTAGACAGAGTTAAAAAATACCCAAACATACCTTAGAGCCCATACCCTGGACACAGAAAGGATTTTTTTTTTCTTTTTGGTCAGTTGTGGGGCCTGAACTCTGGGCCTGGGTGCTGTCCCTCAGCTCTTCAGCTCAAGGCTAGCACTCTACCACTTGAGCCATAGCACCACTTCTGACTTTTTCTGCTTATGTGGTGCTGAGGAATTGAACCCAGGGCCTCATGCATGCAAGGCAAGCACTCTACCACTGAGCCACTCTCCCCCAGAAAGGATAAATTTAAAATTCAAGTTTACATACAGGCAAACACTCGTGAGCCCCATATCCTGAGCTCTAAGTCAAAACTCAGCCACATGTGCTAAGGCCAGGTTTGACCCCATATTGGCTGAGCTTGTAACCAAGTTTCCCCTTAGTCAAAATTCACCCTACTTCATAAGGCCCTGGGGCAGCTGTAAGCTTGGGAAGCTGAAAAGGCAGTTTTGTGAAGTTCCTAAAGCTTGCTTTATTTCATAGTTACTTATCTCATGCTTTACTTCTAGCCAAGGACTAAACATTTCCACCAAATTTGTGAACAGTCACAATTGAGCTAGGGGCGAGATACAGAATGAGATTAGCAGCCGGACACCCTTGACTGGAGCGCAGCCTGCCCACCCACTCGACTGCCTTGAGTCCACGTGCTGCAGCAGCTCTGGTTCACTTACTTGTACTGCGCGCCGGAGTCGATGAGGTACACCTCATCCAGGGACAACGTCCTATTCGTCTCAGGGACTGGCCTAACAAAGTGAATTAAAAATTAGTTATTCCACAACAGTAAACACGTGAGGGATCCAAGAGTGTTTACAAATATTTTTTGTGCTAATCTTAAAACAGCATAACTGAAGTCAGAAATCTATTTTTAAAAATTACCCAGTAAATGAATTATTCCAACACGTACTAAAAGCTCCTACTATTCAAAGTCGATCAACTTATCTCACCAACTAGATTAAGAGCACAACAGAAGAAGGAATAACATACGTCTTTGAACTTATCTGTTTGTGTCTGGGACAAAACAGGCTGTTCAAGGTAATAGGAAAGCTACAAAAGAAAGACTCCAGAGCCGGACTGCTGGTACACACCTGTGTCACCAGCCCTCAGGAGGCTAAGGCAGGATGGTAACAAGTTCCAGACCAGCCGCAGTTACTTAGCAAGGGTCTGTGTCAAAACAACAATAACAAATGATTGAGAGGGTAGGATGAAAAGCAATAGTAAGTCCAAGCTTGAGTGATGAGAATGGAGATAGTTACTGCAGCCAATCTCTGAGCACTCCAAGTATCCTTTAGTTCTGACCCTCTCAGATGCGTCTGAAACCACCAGACACACAGGGAGTAAATGCCTCTTTTTAAAAGGAGTGGCTTGTTTGTGCCAGGTCCTGGTGGCTCATGCCCATAATCCTAGCTACTCAGAAGGATGACATCTGAGGATTGCAGTTTAAAAACAGCCTGGGTAGAAAAGTCTGTGAGACTCTTTATCTCCAATAGACTATTCAGAAAAAGCCAGAAGTAGTGCTGTGGCTCAAGTGGTAGAGCATTAGCCTTGGGCACAAAGAGGCTCAGGGATAGTGCTTAGGCCCTGAATTCAAGCCCCAAGACCAGGGGAAAAAAGAGTGATTCATGCTTCTCTTATATGGGAGCTCTTTTTTTTTTTCAAGTGGATAGAACCCCCTTTTAAAGTGATTCACTTTCTCCATGCCACTTTCTAGACAGAATCCCTGTGCTGAGAAATGCCCAAAGGCATGGGAGAATTCCAAGCTTCATTCTCCAGCAATGAGGGCACCAGGGGGCATGCAAGACAGTCAGACACAGGCCTAAGCCAGCCTGTAGGGCCCTGACTCCAAACAGACTTCCAACAACCCACAATGAGAAGCAAAATTCTCCCCTTTGGTTTGAAATTCCTAATGCTATCAACACATGAAAAATTCCAGTATAGTATCCAGCCACGAAATTCATCATCTGAGTTAAATTGAAGTCCCTTTGATATTTTTTATGTTAGATCAAAAGCATTAGTCTGAGGGAATTATTTACACATCTGTGACAATCTACCACACACAGCTTCAAAAGCCACCCCAAGACTAAAAGTTCTAAAGGCAATTATTTAAAAGGGGAAAAGTTATCCCCAAGTATATCCCAGAAAGACAATCTTTCCTTAACTGTGCACATGACAACCACGATGGTACTGAACACTCTAAGTGTTCAGTGTAAGTGTAAATAAAGCCAAAAGGCTAAGCTACACAAAGTGATGCTGGAGACCAGAGGCCTCACCCAGTGACACTACCTTCCTCCCCACAGACAGATAGATCTACAGGTCACATACAGGACACAGCAGTGTCCCTCTTGTCTCACAGTTCAGAGCAGCTCAGCTTTGGGCTCTCAGATCATGTCAGAAAAACTCTCCTAAACTGAACTGCCAGGCTTCAAAGCCCAGTGAGCAGGAGGACAGGGCTCGGTTACCTATCGCATGTCAACCCAAAATAGGCTGCTCCATCACCTAGCATACACTGTTTGGATATGCTAGTGATGGAGCTCACAAGATACTGGAATAGCACATTGGTATTACTATTAGTTACTATTAGTATTAGCATTACTAATATTACTATTACTCGAGTTATACTCCAGTTATTGAGGTACAGGGGCTATAGATAAGGTATCTGAGCCCCAAAATGGGAACAGGGACAGGGACATGCATTTGACTTAACCTGTGCAGAAGGCCAGTAACATTCAGAGCCTAAGAGGAAACTTCCCAAAGTCAGAGGCTTTGGGATTTAGAAAGAAGTAAGACTTCCAAAGTTTTATCCTCCTGTAACTAGAACACACACACACACACACACATGCACACGCACACACGCACACACGCACAGGCACATAGGCCCCTGGTGAAATAATGTCTCTCCCCTGCTCAGGCTCCTTTGCAGAAGCAGCAGCAAAGCCAGTC